TTTTTAATTTTTAAATATTTAAAATATTTAAAAAAATACAGCGCACAAATATAGTAAATATAATGTACATTAAGAAAAAAAATATTTATAATAAAAAATATAGGAAATGTAATGTAACATCTCTCTTTAACTTTTAGTAGTGGGAGAGGTCCATAATATATTTTTTTTTTTTGTAGTTTAAGGTTCCTCAGCCATATCCTCTTTCTTCTTTATCCTCTCTCTCTTTGGTTTCATGGACGAGATGTTTCCACCGGAGACTAGACAACATTTGATTGGGAATGGCAACGGGCCAGGGCAGTGCCAAGGAGCACACTCCCCGTCCCCAATCCTTGAAGATACAAAATTTCCCGTTTCCACCCCCGATCCCCGACGGGAAACCCATCACTCCCCTTCCCGCTCCCGCCCCCACCTTCTGACGGCGATCAGGTTTCTCCGACCCCAAAAAATCCCCGTAGTGCGCTCTCTCTCTCTCTCTGTGTTTAGCTTTCTCTCCCAATCTCCTGTTTCATTTTCATCAACATCAACTTCATTTTCATCAACATCATCAACAATAATATCATCAACAACGATAGACACACACACACATATACACACACAAAAGGAATGGAGAGAGAGAGAGAGCGCTATGGGGATCGGGAAACGTATCATCGTCCCTGGCCCGAAAATTATCAGGAATTTATTTTCAAATACCATCGCCGGCCCGTAGGGAATATTTTTTAGGAAAAAACCATTCTAATCAGGGTTGGGAGGTCGGGTCCCCGTCGGGCCGGGTTCAAACCATCCTTACATTTGATCCAAGTTTCCAAACCTTATATTTTCCCCATGGCAATTCTGTTCGTCCTCCTTTATTTCAAATCTATCGTTTATGGTTTGGACCGCAACACATTCAGTGGAGGGAAGCTAGTTGTGAAGATGATGAAAGCACTAGGAAGGAGTTATATAAAGATTCCTAGGCATGTTTTTGAAAGCAATCCCAGAGGTTACTTTCATAGTCTCCAGGGAAAGTTGTAAATGAAATGAACGTGTATTTCTCTTATAATAAAGCCTTGTATACCTAGTACTCATTGAACTATGTATGTTTGCCTTGCTATTAATCTATAGTTTGTTTGTGTATATTTCTTGTTTTCAATGCTCACCAACTATGATGTGCAGTGGTTTGGTTTTGAGTAAATTTTAAGCTCATCATGAGATTACAAATGTTTGGGGTTTGAAGGATTCTAACTTATTTGCAATATATTAAAAGAGTTTGAACCCAGAGAAATTTTAAGTTTATCTGGATTTCTCTAGTTTGAATTCAATGAAATTCTTTTTTAAGTGAATCTCTATCTCTCTATACATATATATATATATATATATTGGTTGTTGTTATTGCTAATTTAGGTGATCGATTTGTGTATTGCACATCGTGATTAAGAAGGCAGAGAAATTTTTTGGTTTGAACTAGAGAAATTCTTGCAAAAACCAAAGAAATTCTCTGGAAATCCAGATAAATTCTCTAGCATTCCCAGAAATTCTCTAGATTGAGTCTTTCCTCAATTGATATTGAGAGACCTTAGACATTATAAAAATGGTGGATGTTCTTTATGCTATAAAATTTTAATAAAATTAAGAAATATTTACCCTAAAAAATAAAATTAAGAAAATTTTTAAATATTTTAAAAGAACAAAATTTAAAAAAAAATTAAAATACAATTCAAAATTCATTTCAAAATTCATAACCAAATAAGTTTTCTCTTTTCAAAATTCATTTCAAAAACTTGTTTTTTAAAATACAACTCTACACTTAAATCATAATTTTAAAATTAAACCAAACGGAACCTTAGCTTTCGTTTAGGATGCATTAATTTAGTTTGACTTTTAATTTTTTAATTATTTTAATTTGGTTAAAAAAGCTATATTTGAAATAAATTTTAACTTTTTTTGTTTTTTGTTTTTATAATTGATTTGATAGTTGTAAGAGAAAAATTAAAATAATTATAATTTAGATGTGACATTTAAATTAATATGTTTTTTCTTCATTGATTAATTTTATCTTATTCAACTTTTTTTTTTCTTTTTTCTTTTTTCTTTTAAGGTAAACAACAAATATCCCAATTGAAATTTTTACCAATTTTTAATACACACTATGATGAAAGTAGTCTCACCCAATCCCAATCCATTAAAAATAAAGTAATGTTAGAAATTTCAAAAATTCTATTAAATTTTTTTATCAAATATGTTACATAGGTGTGAGACTCACACCATGTGTGTAGACATTTGGTAGAAAATTTGATAGAACTTTTGAGAACTCTAACATTTTTGTTAAAAATAAGATTAAAAATAAGAAAGAAGGTAGGTATATAATCAAGAGGGTTGCTATTTACTTCTATCTTTCTTTTTAGAATTTCTATCTTTTTATTTTTTTTTAATTCTAATTTTGTTATAACATAAAATTTCACTTTTACTCTTATCCCTGATTTTTTAATCTTAATTTCCCAAACCCTAACCTTAACCCTAACCCTAACCCTAACCCTAACCCTAACTCCTTCTCCTCTGAACTTCGGCTACCACCTTCACCCGCTGCTGGCCAACCCCTCACTGCCAGCCGTAACCACCAAGTTCTTCATTGCCAGTTGTAGTCACCCAGCCCTTCTCTGTCACCTCCATCCGTTGCCACAGAGCCTCTCTCCACCTCGCCCGGCTACCTCCAACCCTTTTTCATTGCTCACATCTTCTGTTGCCACCCTCATTTTTCTCTATTTTTTCTTCTTCTAAAAATCCTAAGTTTATCTATTTCTCTCTCTCTCTCTCTCTCTCTCTCTCTCTCTCTCTCTTGTAGTCGCTTTCTCTCGCAATGGATGAGGAGGTCACTATGGTGGAGTGGGTTTGTCAACACAGTGCTGAACAAATCCTTTTGGCTCACTAACATAGTACTGAACATAAATGATTTGTTTGACTGTTAGGATTTTTGGAAAAGAAGAAGAGGAGGAGATTGATTGGCAAGATTGGATGGAGGAGACTCTCTCTCTCTTTCTCTCTTTCTCTCTCTCTTCGTTGGGGTGAAGGAGAGAACGACGGTGATGGGGGATTGATGTAGAATGGTGGATTGGGAAGAGGTGGTGGTGGTAGGTCTGGTTTGGAGATGAGCGAGCGATGACGGGAAAGTTGCCAACAGGGGCTGTGATGGCGGGGGAGGTCGTGGACCAGAGTGAGTTATGATTGGAGGACCGGTGAAGTGAGAGAAGAGAGACAACATGTTGTTGTAAGGATATATTTGAGATTTTAGTAGGGGTCCAAAGAAAAATGTGGAAGGGAGCCATTTTGGTGGTGGGGGTTCAAAGTAGTGAGATGTTCAAAGTAAAAAGATAAAGGCATTTAGCAGTCCTTATAATTCAATTAAATGTTGTGAAAAATCTTACTGAATTATAACTTATGAGCTTTGTACATGTATATATGACATCTTCATAATCAGAAGAGCATTATTAAAATTGTTCCCAGTTCAAATACTTATAAACCTGCATATTCTCTCTCATTTCTGGTTTGAGAGAAAAATATAAGTTGCTTAGGATTTCTTGGGCAGAATTGAAGATAATAACATAATTACTTCGATTGATTAGGATTAAAAAATTATTTTTTACCTTAACCCTTATGAAAAGTGATTATTCATTCCTATTATTGACATACAACCTCATCGAATAATCCTTGTATTATACAGTACTTAGTAGGGTAAATTAGAAATACACTTAAAATACAGATTATCTTGTAATTTTGAAAATTACAAATATCCATTGGCAAAATTTGTTATTTAACAAAATTGAAGAAAAAAAATAAAATTTTCTAACTATCCTTCTATACAACAATAAAATCACCAGAACAGTTAATTGAAATATATTATGACATCATTAAAAACTGTTAATTAACTTAATGATTAATTAATGAAATAGGTTATTTGTTATGCAGTTAGAAATTTTTAAGGATATAATTTAATTTTCATAACCACATGGAATAATTAGTATTTTAAGTAAACCTCAGCGGTATTTTTGTAATTTACCCTGCTAGTATCATCACTTTTTGAAACTGATTGATACAAATGTTATCCAACTACATCAACATATTCCATATAATTTAATCTGTGAATTCAAGTTGGCCAAAAATCATAATGTAAAAGACAGAAAACCCATAAAAATGACTTCTCTTTTTGTGCTGAAATTGTCATCTAATCTAAATTCTAAAAAATAAAAACTTATTTGATGTTGTGGATGAAAATTGAACTCTGTGGATGAAAATTGAACTCAATCGAGCAGCTACCGAAAGTGATGTATTATGATTACATATCAACACTATGCGCAACCGAAATCTATCACAAAAAAAGCTGGACTTATTGATGGTAGAGAAAATTTTAGGCCCAGCGAGAGAGACTTAAATTTGTATTTCTACAAGATAAGACTGTCCTTTTCATAATTGAATGATCAAAAAAGAAGAATAAACTCAGCCAAGATGTCTCTTTCATTCCTTGTTTGAATTGGCTAATTTCTTTCAAAGATCCCATAACCACATAAGGAGAACAAAAAGGTTATGCCTTTCCTGAATTATAATCTTCACTTGAAATTTAAAAAGGCCATTGAAAAAAAGAGAAAGCAACCGACCAACCAAAAGGGGTGGGACAAGGAACATATGCTGAAACACACCCCTTGTTTTCTCTGTTGTATTGAATATACCATTCTACCCTTGGTTTTGCACTAGTTGGATACATTACGTGCAATCTTCCAAGATTGATCAACAAAAGACATATTTCCAGTTTGATTTATACCATAATAACATCTAGAGAGAGTGTTTCCTAACTGAAGTTCAGCAATCAAACATGAAATCAAAGAATCTACGCGAGAAATGTGAAGGAAGTGGTATGAGATATAGAATAAGAGCTTAATTAGTGCATAGTGGCCTTCTGAATCAAGGGCAGTCTCTCATTTTTACTTGCCAAGGGTATTTAAGTAATCATAGCGATAAAGGACAAAGATGAGAAAAGGATAGCTTGGGGAACAAGCTCTCTTCAAAAGAAAGGTGAACATTTTAAACAAAGAATCTCTTCAAAGACAAATAGTTATATGACTACTTTAAGTTCTAATCCCTCCATCCCTTCTTCTCCTGGTGGAAAGTCGCTTTGGAAAGATAACAAGATTTCTAATTCTGACTCAGAAGGCCATGGCTATCCCGGAAAAGCTTTTGCAGTACAAGTATCACTTTACCATAACAATCTTTTTATCCCTAATCCTTGCTTTTTTCATTATCGTTGCTCCTCGGTTTATCACCATTCTCTCTTACTTTTGGCCTCTCTTACTCTCTACAACTGTATTCTTGGTGGCAATGGTTGTCTTTGGTCAGATATCATCGACTTTCACTGAATCCTATGATGACAAAGCAGGCGAGGGACTCTTGGATTACGTTACAGGGCGGCCAGAACAGCTGGAAGAATAATGAAATCCTAGTAACAAGTGGAGATTTGGAGTTTTTCACTACTAAGACTTGCTATATGGCTAAACTCGGACCCATTTAGAGTGACTAATCTCCAAGTACAAAACCAATGTACATCTTATTCTATTCAACCATGTACGTGTAATCTGTATGTCTGGATTCTCAGCTTCTTTATAATCTGTAGAAGGAACCGAGAAAATAATAATGAACAATTACTTGGTCATGACAGCTGGGTTGTCTTGCTACTTCTTCCTTGTACATGGTATGGACAGGTTTTGGCATATTATGTATAAACGAAAATTAAGGTTGTTTTATTTTTTATTTTTTATATATACAATATAGGTTCATTTGAGGGACAATAAAGCACAAAATTGTTGATTTGATAAGAAAATTTCTATCGAACCAACCCATGACCAGACCCCCCAAAATCTTAACAAATATGGACCAAATTTTTTTAATCTATCCTAAATAAATTAAATTTGTGGAAATGACCTGAAATTTATAAATCAAACTCAAACAATCATGTTAGATCAAAACAATAATAAGACATAACATGTATGCACATATTTGTGAATTCGTAGTCAAAATGTATGCTCAAATGTACAACTAAGCTTTGCTTTCAATTGCAGTATGGAAAAGAAATGGGGACTCTGCAACTGTTTTTGGCCTTATTTATATATGGCCAAACTAGTATATACAAATAAGATAGAATGGTATGACTGCATCATCTGAAAGATTTCATTCAGTCTTTTCTTGTTTTTCTAAGCAGAAAGATATTTTCCCCTATATTTTGATGAGTATATTCTACTTCTAATTGTGTCGATCAAGAAAAATTTGAGTCAATGACCTGTCAAATATAGCTTCTGTCAGCTTTGTGGTTGAGATGATTCCAAGAGCAGCAGATCAGCTGCAGTCAATGTTCCTGACTGATCAACATCAAGATTTTTAAAACCCTCCATCACAACTGAGATATCTTCCTCACTTATCTTCCCCATTTCTTTCAGCTTATACACAATGAACTCTGCAGCACTGCATCAAAGAAGCCAACACACAAAACAAACAAATAAACAAACAAACAAAATTAGAAATTGAACTAGAATTGAGAGAGTAAAGCACAAAATAAATAGCTGAGGTTTAGGTCTCTGGAGGTAGAGATCAATCCAAAGAACTTACCTGACAACTTTATCATTGTCAAGATCTGCAGCCTCAAGATCCGAGGTTGTTAACTTGCGTGTAAGAGCCCACTTGACGTGTAATCTCTGTCTGTTTTCAGTGTATATTTCAGCAAGATAAAGAAATAATTGGGCTAAACAAATGGTACTGATCAGTATCCAGAAAACAGCAAATAAACGTCCCCCTTCAGTCGAAAAGCTCTCATCCCCATATCCCAAAGTCGTGATGGTCGCACAAACACAATAGAATGCATTGATGAAGTCCAATTCCTCAACTTGATATAAAAACATGGTTCCAACAATTACAAGCACCAAAAGAAGGGTCACTGTGGTCAGAAATTTGTATCGGGCTTTGTTGCTTTCAACCTCTTTAATAATCTCAGCTGAACCGATCTTTTCATGCATGTACAAGGCTTTAACCAAAAGGATTTCCTCTTTCTCTACAATGTAGTCTGCGGCCTTACTAAGAACAAAGCCAACAAGTCCCATACCGGTGAATACAAAAATGCAAGCAAGTAGTTTGGTCAATACGCTATTGGGCACAAGGTCTCCATATCCAACGGTGGTCATTGTCACAACACAGAAATATATGGCATCAAGAATCCCATTTGTTTTCTTACCCTTGATCTGATTACCCATGAGGAAGAAGCATAGTGTGCCTACACCTATGTAGATACTAAAGTATATGAATATAAGTCTAAAATTAAGTAGTCCTTTTGAAGAAATTAGGTCGGGATTTGGTAGCAATTCAACACCATTTTGTTCTGGGAGATCAATTTTCATTGAAGGAATGCTGCTATTACGGGCATATCTTCTTCTCTTGAGGGCTTTTTTTTCATTGAATTGATGGGAAGGATCTACGGATCCTGAAAGCAAAGGCTCTTTAACGTCATCGCAAGCCATCAGATAATTAATATAAGGCAGCGCATCTGTTTGAAGACAACCTGCATCATATTGAATTGTGATGATTTAAAGTTTTCATTGGCAAGAAATCATATCTGAAAATTCCTTCTATATGCAAATATGTATCACTGACTCAATTTTAAGGTTTAATTTCAAGTGATCGGGGGAAAATAATTGCTTGCAGCAATTGAATCAGGTAAACTAAAAGACTTTTGGAACAACAAATTGTCCTATTTTGTTTGACAATTACCACTTTCTAGACCAAAACTGATCCACTTTCAAAAGGGGCATCTTAGGCACCCCATTTTTTTTATCAGACATAATACTTAGTCCTGGAGTTGAGTCGCTGCCCCATGATGACAATGATATGAAAGTGAAAATATGAGCACTTCAATGAACTTAGCCTATGTGTGGAATCGCCTCAAGTCTGGAGATCCATATTTGTTCACCGTTTTGCGAAAACTGAACATTGTACGTGCCTTAAAAGACAGCATGTAGTGAACATAAGTCGGCACATAGCCATAGTACTCAAATCTTAAACTCCCATTACGTTGTGGTCTAAATCCATCAAGTGTATAAAAGAATGAAAAGGCAATAAACGAATAAATAACTCGATAATAGACTGGCAAAAATATTACTCCTGAAACAGTTAAAATAAATCTTTAATTGTTGTTCATTATGCAGCCATATGGAATCAGCTCAGTTTGCATCTTAACCTTAATTGTCAGTAAATATACAAGTACTGCTACCAAACCAAACCAGACCAAGCTTTTAAGTTTCATCGAATTGGGTCAGTTACGTGAATCTTTCCCCTCTACTCGACTCTATCTAAGGCGTTAGTACAAATTTGAAAATTTGGAGTAAGTTCATTTTAGGATGTACAAATAAAAATAAATAAATAAAATGAGCGAGGGAAAACTGATACTCCATCACTAGACTTTTTGGTTGTCATTCCAGTGATTTTGGTGATTGTGGTAATGACTTTGCTTGATATGACAAGTTGAGCATCTAAATGGGAGTGAAAGAGCCTCGTTTGGGAGCATGTTTTTTTAGTAATTTTTTAATTTTTTGGTTAAAATGTGATATAAAAAAAATTAGTATGTTTGGGATGACTTTTTGGCTTTTTACGAAAAGATGTGCAAAAAGTGAAGAGAAAATAAAATCTTTGACTTCCTGATATGGATTGTTGGTTTTTTAATTTTTTTAGTGATTTTTTAACTTTTTGACTAAAAAAGTCACTTACCAAACGAGGCCTTAATAAGCAACTTTTTTATGTTGAAAAAGTCAAAAGTACATAAACTTGTTTTGGATGGCTTTTCCTCAAGAAATAGTTTTTTTGGAAAATTTGTGAAAAAGATAATTTTACCTTCAAGGTTTAAGAAATTCCTACGTATCCTTACAGGAGATCCACAACACCATAAGGAGGGCAAGTGACAGGTCAGACATTCGATCCAAAATGAAAAAAATTGTGAACTGCAACAGATAGCTGACTGTGTGACTGCGCAAAACATTCCTCACCAAAATACAAGTTTGGAAAAACTAAAAAATAAAAAAAATAATTTTGTTTTAACGATTACCAAGCGCATAAGGTTAAGCAATTGTCAAACCCCACTTATACTCCTATTGATACAATTTCCAAACCCCACCAATAATCCTAATTAAGATTAGGGCATATTACAATGGTAGACTCTTGTGTCATTTTGATTCCTATAATTTCAATTGATTCAATTTTGACTTTGAATTTTTTATTTTCTGTCAAGTAGGCCCAATTGATTATAATCGTTAAAAGTTTTTAATAGAAAATACGCATATGAACAACATATGTCATATGCATGTGGGGCAAAATTGTAAACATATACAACTAAGTGAGTTAATCTCAACCAACTCAGTTATTATCTTTTGTCAAAAACTCTAACCGGCTTTATTAATTGAATCGAATTGACACAAAATTCAAAATCAAACCAAACCAATTGAAAGTATATGAACGAAAAATGACAGCAAGTAAAATGCAGGATCACTTACCCTTAAGAATATGACCCTCTCTCTCTCTCTCTCTCTCCTTTTTCTTTTTAATGCAATATTAAGCTTCTAAAATGTTAACAAACAAATAGATCATGCCTTGAACTGCATCAAACAACACTTCTCCCAGATGAATTCTACCATGTAAAAAGGCCATATATTGTTAAGCACTGTATTTCCCTTTATGAACATCCCAGGAAAATCTAAACCATTCAGAACAAGATGACAATTTTGCATATTTAATGGACAATAAGGGTAAAAAAAGATATATAGCATAAATGACAAAAAGGCAAAACAAAATCAAATCACTTCTTCTATATACAAAGCAGATGATATAGAGAAACATACAGATAACAGCATGAACACAAAAGGGTAACAAGAAGATTTTGGTCATACCTGAGAAAGTTGGATTCTGTACATTTATCAAATTTTATTGATTTTCATTCCTTTTCAGCTAAAACCCTGAAAAATAGGACCACCACCAATAACAATTAGAATCCCACAATAGGTAAAGTCCGAGGTACCAAGTGACCCGGGCTCTAAATTCTCATCTTGCTAGTAGAAATTTATTGGATTAAAGTTAGATAAGAATATTTTTCTTATTTATTTATTTTTATTTAATTTATAGGTTGGATGAGATTATTGATACTGCGGATTGAGTGAGCGAATTACGTGACATTAGATTGAAGATCTTAAATAAATTGTATTTATTTGTGCACTAATTGTATTAATTGATTGGGGTCAAATTTATAAAATTACGTTAAAATCTTAATAATATAAAATGTGACTTTATTATTTTTTGTAAAAGGAGAGACAATAAGATCTTTTCACATTTCATCTCATGGGATTAGATTAGTAAAGCCAAGGTTTCCAGAGGACTCCCATGAATCATGATACTCCTAATCCCATGATAATCATATTATTATATATAAGTAAAGTAAAGTATTTTCTTATGAAGTTTTAGAAAGATGTTATGTGTCACTTTAGTCTCTTAAAATTTTGTCAAGTGTCCTTCTTAGGATTAAAGGGGTGACTTTCTATCTTTTAAGTTTTTTCCTCTTCTTTTTGCATTTTTTTTTATCATCTCTTTCTTTTCTCCTTTTTCCTCTTATGATTTTTCTTATTTTGTTTATAAATACATTATTTTGTATAATTGTTTTGAATTATTCCATTCTATATATTTATATTTATTAATTTTAATAACATTTAGAAGGAAATTACAATTTTGAAATATTTTTACAAAAGTATGATAAAGCAAATGTAAAAGGTTGTTATAAAAAAAATAAAAAGACAAAAAAAGACAAAAAAATAAGAAACAGAGGGGGGGGGGTGTTTTGGAGATAGGAATTTGACAATCTACCTATAAGATTACATGAATAAACTAGTGAATGATGTAAATATAATTACAAAAACTTTCTATTTTACGAAGACCTTTCAGTCAAAAAAGTTGGTGGCCAATAACTTTCATAATTAATTTTGTTAATTCTATTAGTTTTATAATAATATCACATTAGAAATAAAAAATATATTGTTGAATTGATGTTGTGTAGGTGTGGGGATATATTTTCTGAGTACCAACACGTGGCAAGGTGACGCCGACGTGTCAGCCGAGGTGCCACATGTCTTAGTCGTTGTGCCGAGGTCATCTCGGCTAGGTCGAGATTGCCTCCGAAGATATCGGAATCCGAGATAAGTGGATAAGGGACAAGAGTCCTAGAATGAAGAGGGAACTCAACTTGGATATGGACAAGAGTCCTAGATTGGGAGAAGACTTCAGTTTGGGTAAAGATAAGATTCTTAGAGAGTTTATCCTAATCCCACTGGGAGTCCCAGATTAGCAGTAATCCTAAGTCCATTAGGGCTAGGCTCCTTTTGGGACTAGGATTGTATTGGCTATAAAAGAGAGGCACCCCCATGGGTCTAAGGTATGCTTTTTGATACTCAAGCTTGTGAGTTTAGTACTTGATTTATCTTTGAGAGATATACTGACTTAATCGTCGGCGTGCCCCTGGGTGGTCGAAACCACCGCGAGATTCTTATATTTCTGTTGCAGGTCAGTCAGGTGCCATCTATTCTGCCAGTGCTCTCTAGCTGGTTACTAAGCGGGCAGTGTGGTCGGAAAATCACCCACACAATTTGGCGCCGTCTGTGGGAAAGAAAGAAGAATAGATGGCCAATGACAGACAAAAGAATCAAACTGGAGACAACGCTCCTGCTGAGAATGGGAGATCTATCAACCTCGATGTTGAAGGGGACAATAGCAACACAGAAACTCGTGACCAGAGTCACGGAGTGAAAGAAGCCGGCCAGGAAGATGACACACCAAAGACAACAAATCGAAGCAACAAAGACGACCTTCAGGTATGGAAGGTTAGATACCTGCGGAGGAACGAAGACCCTTCCAGAAGAGATGCAAAGACAGGGGGCATGAGCACTCCCAATGAGATAACATTCAAGTATAGAAGAACTCATCCTGCGTGAGTAGATCCCGGATTCCAGATCATGGATCCCGGATCCGAGAAGACATGATCTCAGCCTAGACAAGTAGGCCCGAGAAGACGAGAGCTCAGCCTAAGCGAGCAAATCCAAGATTCTAGAAGATAAGATCTCGGCACCTGAGTCTGAGAAGAGAAGAGCACAATGAGCAGATCTCAGATCCCAGAAGATAAAAAGGAAACACACAAGATCAGACTAAAGTTGGTCAGAATTGAGAAGTATACTAAGGCCGAGGAGGACATGCTGGGAACAAAGGCGTCGGAACAAGAAAAGAGAAACGGCTCGCCGATGTGAGGCCGAAAATCAAACTCAGGTTGGAGCCAAGTAAGATCAATAGAGAAACCAAGGCCGACAACCTCGGCTTGATTTAAATTTCGGCGACAAGGTCGAAGCTACATGTATGATGAGAACCCAAGTGGATTTTAAGTTCACATTGGAGGGCAGAGAGAAGAAGAGTTCGTTTACCACTTGTTGAAATTTGTAGCAATTTACAAGTTGGTTAAACCAATATGATGCTTAACCGAAGTTAAGCCAAGATAATGCTTAACCGAAGTTAAGCCCAGATGATGTTTAACCGAAGTTAAACCGAGACGATGCTTAACCGAAGTTAAGCCGAGATAATGCTTAACCGAAGTTAAGCCCAGATGATGTTTAACCGAAGTTAAACCGAGACGATGCTTAACCGAAGTAAAGCCGAGATGATTCCTTATCTTCACTTGTTGAAATTTGTAGAAATTTACAAGTCGAAGTTAAGCCGAGATTATTCCTTATCTTCACTTGTTGAAATTTGTAGCAATTTACAAGTTGGAGTTAAGCTGATTCCTTATCTTCACTTGTTGAAATTTGTAACAATTTACAAGTTGAAGTTAAGCCGAGATTACTGTTTCTCTTCACTTGTTGAAATTTGTAGCAATTTACAAGCCGAAGTAAAGCCGAGGTTATTGGTTAAA